GAAGGGTCGTAAATATCAACTCCTCGACTCCTCGAGGAGTAAATATCACTTTGGCCCATTTTTGACATCGACTTTAAGTCAATCCGCTTTTTGACTTCATTTCCGGGGTCCACGTCGTAGCTGGGCATGCCGGCGCTGGGGTTGGCCCGCACGTAGCGCAGCAGCGGCAGCATGGCCCGCAGCCGCCGTCCGCTGCCTGCCCAGAGCCGCGCCCCCCGCTCCGGCCATGGGATCAGCGCCCCGGAGCCCGTGAGCTCAGCAAACACCACCTCAGCTTTGGGGATCTTTGAGCCATGAAAAATGAAAACAACTCTGATTACAAGTATCAGGTTGTGGCCAACATTGGCCTGCCGTTCAGGCTTTACCTTGAACTCTTTCCTTTGATTGAAACACGATGCGCGTTTTTACCATTTTGCCCACCTCGCCCCCACGCAGGTCCCGCAGCCACCGCAGCTCCGTGGTCAGCGGCCGGTCTAGCGACAGGCGGAGGTCTTCCAGGCGCTCCACGATGGTCTCCAAGCCCTCCCGGCCTGCCGGTGTTTGAGTTGGATCGTTGGCTTTCTCAGTTTTCTCGGCTTCTTGGTTTGCTTGGTTTGCTTGGTTTTGTCGTTTTTCTTGGGTTTTTGGTGCTTTGACGGATGTGTGCTTGTTGTTGGCATGTTGGTTTGGTGTTGATCGTTGTAGAGTTGCTGACCCTTGGAGGTTAAAATGTGTCTGCCCGACCCTGGTGCATTCTTGATCAAGCCGGACGCATCCCCGCCTGGGCTCGTTTGCAAGGGCGCAGGGAAAAACCCATAGCCCATCATGGCCAAGCCAAGGTTTACATGCAAGGGCACCTCAAGGGCACCGTTGTGACCCGGCAATGGTAATCATCAGCCGTCAACTATCCAAAAAGCAGACACGTGACCAGTGCCCAAGTGAGCACTGTTGTTCTAAGGTTCGGGTCTTCTACACGGCGGAGCCCACTACGTTTCGAGGCAGAATTTGCGGAAGGGTTGCTTTCGTGAGGCTTGACGTTGGTGGACTCGCAAAGTGTTTTCCCAGACGTTTTCACTAGCCAATTTCAACTAGTTAGCTTGCGCAAAGTGGCTTCGCCTGTGTGAACTTGAGGGGCCTACCTTTGCGGACCTTTTGGGAGTTCCACCGAAGCTAAAATCCGTCAATTGAAAGAAACAACCGCTGGCCCACGGCAAACAAAGCTGAGACTCGTGGCAAACCTGGCAACCACTTCAGAGCAACGCGCCAAAAACATGCTGGACTTGATGTAGGCATGTCTTCTACCATGCAGCAGGCAGGAAACATCAATGCTTGCCAAACAACCAGCAGACCGGACGGATTCTTACATCCTAGTCTTCATTCCCCAGTCTGCATTTCCGTTGTTGGTCCAATGCAGGAACCAACTTTACACTTCGACCCAGCCATTTTGTCATGTCGCTTCCAGCCTGCAGCTTCCCTCGCTTCACTGGCCACCCGCCACAGGATGGGCAGCAAGTCCTGGGAGGCTCAAATCCGTGCCTTTGATCGGAACATGTTTCTTTCTGGACGGTTAAGCATGCCTGGAAAGGGCTTGATCAACTCAGCGGGATGTTAGGATAGCGATGAGCCAAAATTGGTTTAGAATGTTTGAGGCTGGCGGCGACAACATAACTCTGCTATATTTTATAGGAAGATGGCTTGCTCCGACGGAATAACTATGCTGATCCAACGACAACACATGCTTCAATCTGGCACAGTGTCGGGTATGAACTGGCCTTTGATGTTTGAATAAACCAAGTTCTTTATTGTCCCGCACATTATGAATTCGAGTTCACCCCCTCATCTCTCTAAGAGCAACTGGATACACCCCAAAACCAAATCCCTGAAGGGCACACAACAGGTCGCCATGGGGATACTTGCTGTTTGGGCTTGATGTAAGGATTGTTCGGCTCCCTTTAAGAGGAGTGGTTTTCGTGTGTGGGTTGCACCTAGATTTAGATCAATCAACTGTTTCATATCATATGGGCTTGCCTTTAAACGGGGAAAGTGGGTGATTTGGGTTCCCTTCAACACAACCCAAATGCAAATTCCCCGCCCTTGCCAAAACAATCTGGCGTATTTGTCCGCTCCACAGACTCCCAAATCAGAAATTGGACCCAAGCAACTGATTGGTTTCTCTTTTGGCTTCCCAATCAACCCCATCCAAAACGGACTTGTACGAGGAAGCCCACTGTTCGTCCTCAAAAACCAAACACAAGCCACCATACCAAAAAGGCTTTGCTGTGTTGGCAGCCGCCCAAGTGAACGTGGGCATTTCACAAGAAATAGGAGACTGCTCCAAACAGGTTGTTGCCTGTAGAGGTCCCTTGGGGCAATATTCCAAATGGGGGTCCTTTCTAGGAAAAACAACTCAAGATAGGTGGACCCTAATTGTGCATAGCGCAAATCATTCGACCTGTTCTTCCCAACCCTTGGTATGTTAAACTGTTTACAAAGCCCCCAAAATCAAACATACATATCAAAGAACAAGACACGTACATGGAACAGGAAACCAATCGGGGGGATCCCCTCTTTGCAGACACACTCCCTCCAGCTCTGCCTCATGCCATCTTATGGCCCGCCTGGAAGTCGGCTCCTCGCGCTACGGCGTCGGCCATGCGAGCCACACGGGCCTCGAGGATCCGGTCCAACTCATCCCCCACAGCGCCCCCGATGAGCACCAGGCCCATCAGCACGTGACAAATCGTGAAGACCTGACTCAACGACCCTCGACATTTTGGGACGATCGTCGGAATCCAACGCCCATGAAGCAAGGCTGTGCGTAGAGTGTTGAACAACACTAAAACGTGGATTGACGCTTATATAACCCAATTCTAGTCTGGACTCATTCTTCGGACGGCTTTGGGCGATGGCCCTCTGAAGCGATCTTTAAAGGATGGCGACAGCGATTACAAGGTGCCCTCCGAGAACACAACAACCAAGGAGGGCCCCAGCCCCAACCCGCGCTGAACAAAGCCCATCTGCAGCACGTGTTTGTCCGGCGGTGTAAGCTTAATTAAGGGGGCTTCCTTTGCGCAATCAGGGGTCGAGGTGATGCAACCACGCCAAACCCTTTTTCTATTCACAGCAGGGCGGGAGGGTGGGAAATCAAAACCTCAAGTCAGCCTGCTACCCACGCTACCCACGCAACCAAAGAAGACAAGCCGCGCATGCGCTACGTTTGAGACCCCACTTTGTTGATCGCACGCGAGCGAAATAGCAAGGGCTTTCCGAGAAAACAACACCGAAAGCGGCCACAGCCCCAAGCCTCGCTGAACAAGTCCCATCTCACCTTTCTAGTCACTGTTGCGCGGGAGGGTGGGCAATCAAAACCAAGTCAGCGTGTTAAACGCGAAAGTCTGCAGCTTGCACGCATCAACTGACAGGCAAAATTGGGCCCAGAACCAGAACTGATTCACAACTTACAAATGAGGCAAGGGCATGCGCTATGTTTCAGACCTCACCTGTTTTGTTGCTCTCGCGCGAGCACCAGAGCTGTTGCGAGGTTGTGAGGCATGTTACCCCGTAATTAGTTGAGGCTTCAAATCATGCTTTGACAACTTTCGCAAGATTTGTTGGGGCAGTGCCGAAAAGAGTGAGGAGATGTGTGGCATCCTCCACTATGTCATAGAAACCTCCCAGTGGATGACAAGATGGATGAAAGGCAGTTGTGGGCAACCCGTCGTGGGTCAACCGTTTTTTGGATGGTGTTTCAGTGATTCAAGGAAAAGTGAAAGGACAAAGCGCCCCACACATCCTCAAGCGACATGACATTTTGGTTGATCCGCAACAATCGATGCCCCATCGCCTTGGGCATGGGATGGGCTGGACTGAGGTCGCTGGCGCCGACAGTCGACACGATGGACGTCAGAAAGTAGATGGTATCGAAGGGATTCCAGCCCTGAGTGCGCGTGTAGTAGAAGAGTCCAGTCGCAAAATACATGGCAGCTGTGGGATAGAACCACATGGATGCTCGCCTGGGAAAACAAGACACTCTCCGTTTGCGTGAATTTAACGCGAACTCCGCCAAAACAAAAAAATGAAAAAGGAAGCATGTGCCACTGCATTGGGTCGCAAAGAGTACGAGGGGCGCTCCACGAAGTGCCGAAGAATCTCTCTGCCACGAAGCCGCGTCACCACCGCCGTGGTGGCGACAGTCGCTTCAAGAAGCGCCACCTCGCCCATCCCGAAGAGGAAGTCCCAGCCGCCTGGCCACTCCTCCGGCTTCTTGTGGTGGCATATGCCGTTGTTTTCGTCTCCACTCCAGGCACATTCGGCTTTCAAATCCTGACACGACAAGGCGCTCTTTCTCCTGCGGCAGCGGACTTCGTGCATGGGAAGACGCAGGTGAACTCCCTGCACAGCTTGCAAAGCTTGTGAAGCGTGCTTGGCCCGAGCAGCCTGCGCAGCACGCGCAGCTTGAGCTCGGGCATCGTGTTTTGCCGCTGCTTTCTGAGCAACAACCATCTGAACCACCTGCTCCTCATCTTGGTGCAACTTCTTTAAGAGCTTCTCCTCTTGCGTGTAGGATGGAGCGTCACTCTCATCTGACACAGGGTCAGGGACGTTGGACTGCGGTTTCTCTTCCGGCACGGCGGCTTCCTCCCCGCCGGATTGCTTCTCCAGCTGCTCATCCTGCCTCACACGCTGCGAGGAGTTGGCCTGGTACCCATCCTCGAAGAAGGCAGAGTACTGGCGCACCCGCGGGAGGCTCCACACCCAGGGCTCCAAGTGGAACTGCTCCAAGCTAACTGAAGTCACTGAAGGCATGTGGCAAATCCATGTTGGGAAATGATAGGCTCACAGCGTTGGCGAGCTAAAAGCCAAAGCGCTCCCGGCTCACGCAGTGACTGGAGCACACCCACAAAATGAAGACAACATGATGAGACTCATTCAGGTTGCAACACGCAGTATACAGTAGCATGCTTAAGTTTGTGCCCCAAGGAAACTGTTATGGGGACTACGAACGGGAACGAGCGTAGCACCTTGTCGGTTATGTCGAAAGCCACCTCCGCAGCACACATTTCCCTCGAAAATTGAGGCCGAGGATAACTGCCATGGTTACAATTCTGGTTACCAGTAGAAAAGAATACAATTCCGCCTCATCGTCCCTGCAGCTCGGCAAGTCTGTGTTCGCCTTGACGCCGATGCGCTCAATCTCTGCTTCGAAGTCTTCCTGTTCGCCCGGGATGACTTTGCGTTGTGCCATCTGATGAGGAAACTCAGAGCCCCACACAAGAGAGGCACAGGAAGGGTCTACGGACGGTCTTCTTATATATATCCTCGGCTTGCAACATGAAATGCGTTGCCAACAGCAAACTCTCTTAGATCTGGGGGCAGAACACCAAAGGGAAAGAAGAGAGTCGCAGTGCTTGGCAGAGCACTAATCACTGCAAGCAAGTCCTGAAGCAGCGAGCAGATCTTGCAAGCCATATCAGCAGACATCAGCAAATCTCGCCGTCTCCTCACTGAACAACTCAAGGTCATCCTTCTGCAGGTCCATAAAATCATACCTTAAACATGACGGATTCAGTGGTTGTTTGCCTCATGCATAGAAAACGCACATATGAGGCACCAGCGCCAGAAAGTTTGTGTAATTCTCGGGGCGAATCACGAACTGCCTGACCTGAGCAATCTAAAAAAACAAAAACAAAACGAAACACGGCAAAACACGGCCCGATTTCGGGGCGATGTCAATGGGCTGGTGTTCCAAAGCTCCCATGGGCGCCCCCGCATGGCCCTGAGCCACTCCCAGGGCACCGTTGATGATCTGAGCGACTGTTGATTACTCTCCATTCCAAGTCTGACAAATCCGACCGGGTCCAAAGTGAAGGCAAGCGGCCCAAGTCGGCAGGGGCGAACTTGTGACGTGCCACTCCTTACGTTCAAGGGCTTGCCTTTGCACACTGCGACGATTGGATAAGTGCTTCCAAGCCCCTAACAGTGGGATCGAATTGCCCGGCTTGTACTGCATGTAAGAAAACCTCCAGTACTGACTGTCACAAGCAGAATAGAGCGTAGCGTAGCATTGATTGAGACTTGGATGCACTCGTGCGTGAACTGCAGACCCTCAAAGGTCCATTGCCCTTCAGTGCTACCGAGGCTCCAATTGCCGGTCAGTGAGTGTCCTGGCCAACCAACACATGAACCAGCTCAGCAACCAGCCTCGACGTCCGTGCTTTATTTGCCTGCCATCAGCAAACATGAGAAGGCTCCTGAGCGCTTTCATGACAGGACCATGGCTCATTGTTGTTCTTGACATACCTCACAAAAGTCAGAAGCTTTGACATCGTTGAGCAGTTCAAGCTAGCCGAGCAGTGGACACTCATATTTCCAATCGATCTCGTCCCAGGCCTCTGCACCAGTGCGAAGTGATTTGTCATTGACTGTGAAAAGCATCCAGAACCGAGTCTCCCCCGTCACTCTGAGTGGGCGGCATGAAGCACCCACATTGACCACAGGCCATAAAACTTAGCGAACGCAACATACGGCAAGATAACCAAGAAGGCACATCAATCCGATTTCTATGCGGTGTCAAAAATGTATGGCCTCCGACTGTACCCACAAAGCTATCCAGGTCCAACCTCCTGCTGACCGCTTAGGGCGGGTCCAGCAATATCCTGAAGCTGTCCAAGAGCATAGCACCTATGACCACCTCACAGGATGCGAGAGAGCGCTGAAGGCCTCAAGCCCCAAAATGAGGCATCTGATGAAAAGGGTGTCCTCTTTCACAACAAAAGACTTGCGCCAGCTGAGCAATGCACTTTGTCCATGATGCTGTATGGCCCCTGTCCAGGCAGGAAAAACACCTGGGCGTAGTGGCTGGAATTCCTTTTGGCTGGTTGCCAACGCGACTCAACAAACTTAGGGCTGCGCAAAACTGCAACTTGTCAGTACAAGCGTTTGGCAGGCCCAGCTTCACAATGTTTCAGCAAGTGATGCGCGAAGTGAACGGTGGCAGCTCGAACATCGCAACTTGTCAGTGCAAGCCTGCGCGAAAGCTACGCGAAATCTTCCCCCTTCTATTAAGTTGGCAAACGGCGCATTTGTATACATCGCAGGGCTTCACAAGCCGTCAGACCATCTCCGCACCAACGGTTCACATCATTGACCCCTTCATAAAAGCACGCTCCGCGTGGACATGTCAACCTATCAAATCGTCGCCTGACTGCCTGCGCAAGGCTTCGCAACCGAAACGCCTACGCGGTTGTGGCCCTGTCAGCCAATTGCCTACGCAACATGTAAGTATCACAAAAAAAAGAAGTCGCCACGAAGATGTGGGCCTTCATCCCCCAAAACAACCTGCCCAGTTGTGCAAGCAATCCTCATCTTCTGCTCATCAGCTCTGCTGCGCCGGATTTCTGCGAGGTCAAGCCACCGAAAGAGCGTTGAAGTACATGACTGCAGCCCCGAACTCGCCCACCTCAGGCACATGCTCCCTGCACAATCGTCGACATTTGCGTTCTAAGCTGGCAACGCAGTATTCGCCGTACCACTTCTTTGCGCGCAGGGTGTTTGGGTTCTTGGCCTGGTCAGGCTGCTTCTATTCAATTCCGATCAATTCTCCCCATCATGCCTCTTCTGTGAAGAGGTAGGGCGCAGCGCGCAGCATAAGTATGGGACAAACCTAGAACGCTCTCGCTGGTTGCTGCCATGCACGCTTCAACATTGAACTCTTAGGGGATCTTTGGGGTTAACAAGCCAGTCCCGCCATCCGCAAGCTCGTTAAGCAGTACCACAGACTCAGTCAGGAGCAGCGCAAAAGGAGTCAAGGACTTGTGTCAGGCTACTAGCCAAGAGCAATCCGAGCAGCGCGCATTCTTGGAATCTGAGGCCAAGTCTGGCCTGCAACAGATATGCCACGGTCAAAACTCCGCCAATTGTGGGCCGTGGTTTCCTAATAGGACCCCCCCCTACAATGGTTGTTTCAAATCCCAAACGGCCTGGCATGCGGAGAGCCTGCCTGCTTCGGGCTGAGGAGGGTTGAACAAGTCCAGAACCGCCGCCTCGATACCCCGCCTCCCAAGTTTGCTATCTGGAGAAAATAGCCAGCGTCAGAATCAAAATGGGTTAAACCGCTTTGAAATGGAAACCAATAAGAAACCAAGCTTCTGGAAACAATCAGGTTTGTGGGAATTGGAACTGATTCCCACTTCAACGACGCCGAGGAACTTCCCCTTCAAAGGGGAATTCGCAGGTTTACCCGTGTTGTCATAATTGCCTTCAGATGCGAAAAGTCTTCCGACGCAACACTGCTTGTGCTTGTCAAGACTTTGGACCCCATCCAAGGGCTTCAAATTGGCTCCCTGTCACAGCGGTGCCCAATCCGACTGGTTTGAAGAAACATTCAGCCGCTGGCTGGCAGCTCCCACAGCAAGCTGGGGCCCACAAAGCAAGCAAAGCCGACAAAGTGCAGGAAGACCTGCGAGATGGCGATGGATCCGTGGAATGCCCCAGTTATGTCACTTTCCCGGGCCCACTGGAAGATGTACAGGAGGTTCAGGTCCTGAGACTGCGAGTCAGAGCTAAAGCTAGACTGCCGCACTGCGCCGTCTGCAAGGCCTGGGATCTTTCTCTTACTTTTCTGCAGGGGCCAAACATGGAAGCTGAATGATAACCAATATGCAGCCCATCGAGGAGCGGATAGCAAACACATGCTCAGGCATCTGCTGCAGTTGGCAAGCTGAGCCGCATTCTTGCATTGCAGCCGCCTTCCGTCATCCGAACGTTGCTTTGGGGCGCCTTTTGGAAAGCCAAGCATCTATGTGTGAACTCTTCTCCATGAATTAATCTCAAGGTCTGGATCCTACATCCTGAGTTCCGCAGGGGGGCAACGGCTGGCTCGTTTGCGGCCACCCCCCAAGCTCGCCTCCGCCTGAAATGACTGGAGTACTCACGACCATCATCAGGCCGAACGGTGCCTCCAGAGAACGTCTCGAACCCAAGCAACACCCAAAGCACAACTCTCCCAGGCACACACACCCCTCTCGCTCTCTCTCTCACACACACACACACTTGACATGTCGTTTTAAGAAGGTAGGCGTTGGCCTCAAAAAAACTCTGACAGCAGGCCGTGCAACCAAGAAACGCAAGACCAGTAATTAGTACTGATCCGTTCTCCCTGATGATCAATACGGTCCCCCGAAAAGAAATAAATAAACAAATCTCCTGGGGTCGGAACAACATTCAGTGGGACGCATTAGAGCACCAAGGGGGTCCGCTACGGTCGTCCAAAGTGAGTCCCCACATGTCCCCACTTTCTGGGATCCAGAAAGAATCTGTCCAAATCGCCCTTGCTGGGCAAGGTTACAACAAGAAGATATGTCAATTGTTAGATTGCTGGTTTAAATCCGGCGGGTTTCGTACTGGTTGAGTAATCTTTGGTATGGTTACAAAGTGTCCCCGACTACTACCGAAGTCAATTTGCTGTTTTAGAATTGAGCTTGGAAGATTTGTAGTCTGAACAAACACTTATTGACTATTAGGGCGCATTTGTTCATAGGAGGAAGATATTCTTCCGCATGTTCCAAATAAGTAGCCAGATTGCAGCCACCGGCTCTGAGCCCAGGGCAATACAACCCCGAAGAGCGCTCCTGGGAGTTCAGATTTGCTTAGCCACAAGCAAAGACAACTCCTCTTCGAAGAGAATTGCAGATACGTCAATATTGACATAGCAACATCTCAGCTGTGGGCAATAGGCATTGAAAAACGCCACCTTGGCAGGCGATAGTGGCTGTGGCCGCTGTGCACCACGCGCTATCGCGGATTGATTCAACTTTGCTTCGCTCTGCGGCCACAATCTTTCCAAGGACAGGTGACTGGCACTTCAGATGACAGGCTGCAATATGTTACCAATTCCATCTCCACATCTGCCTTGGTCCTTTGCAGTTGTTCAAATTGATAAAACAATTGTTTCTAGAACATCGCATTGGTGCATTGTTTACAATCTCTATGCCAATAAACGGCAATTTCGATTGCATGCGCTAAACTTAATTAGGGGCTTCTCACAACACTCAGACTATGCCAAGTTGCCGCCTTTCAGATGCATCATCATGTTGCCCACCAGTAGGACCGTGGCAGCTGGCCTCACCTTGCTGTAGACTGTGTTATTCTGGGGTACTGGGTTACCAGAGGAGCAGCAACCAATAGGACCAACATGCTTATACATGTAGCTCATTCTCCCCATTCAACCGGGAGTAGAACCGACTAGAATGGCCCAATGTTGTGCTCAGGTGAGGGCTCCAAGACTTCCGCTGAGCACTCGGCGGTCGCTTCGACGATCTGAAACTCCGATGTGGACTCATCGCCAAACGTCTCGGAGATGGTCCTTTGACGCCATTCGAAGGCACTGCTCGCGTCTCAAAGCAGTGCCCTCCGCAGCTCAATAATTCGGGACACAGTTTCTGGGCCCCTAACTCAGGATGGTGCTTCATGATCAAGGTCATGTCAACGTTGCCCTGAGGCGGAGCTCTGCCAACTTCTCTGACTGATAGTGACAGAACCCGAGCTGATCGGTTTCATACGGATCCATCTTTCCATACAAAACACCAGGCCAAATTGCCAGCCCATCGAAAGAATGATGCTTGAACAAAGCTAGATCAAAAGGATTATCGCTCGTCTTCCATTTTTGTCACTGGCATCATGAGTTGGCGATGATTTCGGCATGTCTGGGAAAGCGCGCCGTGCCTCACTTATTGGCACCCTAAGATTGGGGAAGCCATGCTTGAACGAACGCTGCCCTCCTTGGCCGCGGCGGCCGCAAAGTCCTTGAAGTACATCGACCTGAAGAGAACAGCTTTTGGAGTGGTTGCAAAATAGGGAGCCCTTTTTGGGCAGAATCTATCTATATTATACATTGAACATACATATATTATGGTGGTTGGTCTAAACTCATTTGTCTCGAAACAGCCATTCTTCGCGGAAAAGGAGAGTTACTGTCGCAAACGGCGAACTTCCAATTTCCAAAAGTCGCAACTTTGTTCTTTAAAGTCGCAACTTTTCAGTACCGTTGCGCTCAAAAATACCCCCTTGCACTCGAAGCCTGTGCTTCCGCGCGGGCTTTCGCGGATCTTTCGCGAACAACCACAATTCAGAGCGTAGAGCTACCAAGAGCACACACTCTTGGAGCACTAACCCGCCAAGCAAAGGATCAAGTATCACCTAAACGACCAAGCCGCAAAAGCAACAAAGGGCTTGATTCAGCTATAGAAGGAATGCTCTGCAGAACACGCACACACAGAGCTGCTTTCCTATCTGACTGATTTACATGATACAGCTACGCAGAACTTTCGCGAACAAAAAGAGTTACTTTCGCAGCGCAATCTCGACTCTTTCGCGGAGGTATCTCAACCAACACCGATGGTCGCCGAATACAAAAACTCCTTACTCCTTGCAGGGCCTTTAGCAGACAAAAGTTAGACCAGAAAGCAGCCTGCTCCATCCCACGCCTGTTTTTGGGCGACAGCCACCAGGTGTGAATGGCATTCACCTTGGGAAACGGAGCCGAATCGTATCGAATCGTCGCAGTGAAACCAGGGATAAATCCAGAGCTGCTTGGTTCATAGGGTGCCTTCTCCAAATTCTCCTTTTGGAGGCATTCTTCACTGAGCCCAGAGCAAAGGCCCAATGGCATATCCTGGTCGCAAAGAAGACCTGGTTTGGCACAGAAACAAAAGAACGTTGTCCGTGTTGAGCTTCCTGGAAAATGAAAACAGCCAGTTCCGAACTTTTTGCGCAGTTTGGACAGGCGGTCAATGCCAATTGCCAACACTTCAAGTTGGACTCCAAGACTTAGCGTCAATTCAAGCAGAGTGAGAGGCTGACTAGGAAGGCGCCCACTGTCTGTGCTGTGATCTCTCTGTACTGCATGATCTCTCATGCCTCAGCAAACAGGACCCGCACAGAATGCTTGACTGGTCGTGCCATGCAGACAACGTATGCATATACCCAACTATCCTCAACTGGAGTCAAATTCGTTCCAATGTCAACATTGCCCCAGGTCAGGGACCAACAGGGCAGCCGCTCAGCTGGACACACGCAGCCACATACAGGCCACAGGATAGTCTCGGGAGACTATCCAAGCTTTCTGAAGTGTTGGGGTTTCTTTCGATCCAATTCTCATGCCGATTGGTGAGTTGAATCTGTATTGAACAAGGCGTGCCAACCCACGTGCCACGCTATGCCACACTGCTACGTTTGTCCACTGAAACTGCTGTACTGTGCTGTTTAATCTTCCCTGGAGCCACAGAGCAGCAACTTTTTGAGCAGTAGCCACATGATGTCTGTGCATGCCAACATTCGAAGGGCGACCGTCTGGGCATTGGATTGCATGAAAGGAGACCGTCTGACAATCTTTGATGATCACATGCATGAGTCGCTGCATGAGTGGAATGACGCGACATTGAGAAAGAGCGACCAATGCCACAAGGAGACTAGTGATTCTGAAGCCCTGCATCTGGAGCCTGACCCGAGGCAGGAGCCTTCGAGGCGAGGTCCTGGTACAGTCAAACAACGCCCGCGCCCGGGCGCCACGTGAGCATTCGCAGTCCTGGACTGGCGTTGGCGTGGCTGTGTCCTGCGCCGGCGCCCAACGGGCGCAATGGAACAGCAATATTAAGACGACAAGCATCGGCAAGCTGACGGACGGCAAGTGCGCCTCACCCGTGTTATTGGACTCTGCCGGCGTCGGTGTCCGTGGATCTCAGCCAGAATGGCAAAAGGACAAGCCGAAAGAAAAATCAAACCAACGCGAAGCAACCAGCCAGCCAACCATGAAAGTGCGAAACGTGCGGTAGTTTGCATAGGCTGCGGGCCCGGAGCAGTAGAGGCTGCTGAGGGAGGCTGAGGTGCTGGAGTCGGAGTAGTCGCAGGGGCCTGGCTAACCAACCGCGCGAGCCGGCATCCAATACAAATCCCGCGTGAAAGGTCGAAAATCAGGGCCCAGAAGGGCCCAGAAGGGCCCTGCAAAACAATTGCCGAGAAAGGGGCTAGAAACCGAAAAGAGCCACCTTTGACCTCATACGTGAGCCCTCATTCAAAAGAATGAAAACTGTCTGCCTGCGCTTCTGTCTTCTCAGGCCTCGGTTGGTTCACCATTGCGATTCCGGTCTCATGAACTCTGTCAACCATTGGGAAGGGGCTGCCCCTTGCCTTTGTGCGCTCTTACTTGAAGAGCTTTAGTCACTCTGGTGGGCATCACCAGCCAACAACTTGCTCAAGCATGCTGAGACCACTCTTTCAAACGTCATGGCGCTGCCAAATATGCCCCCAGCGGCCCTAGCGGGCCTATCGCCAACACCAAGCCCCCGACCTGGACTCGGCAAAGGTGTCCCTCATCGAGGACATCTCTCTTTCCGTGTCCGGGGTCGCCGAGAGGGGCGGCCTTTCAGGCCGATGTTGCGAAGTCTGATTTGGCCGACAGCCGGGGTGTCCAACAACGAGTAAATAGGAGCACTCGCGGTCGGAGAACATTGGACAAGAAAGCAACACAAAACACAGACAAAGACACAGACACAGACAAAGACACAGACACAGACACAGACACAGACAAAGACACAGACACAGACACAGACACAGACACAGACACAGACAAAGACACAGACACAGACACAGACACAGACACAGACACAGACACTGACACAGACACAGACACAGACACAGACACAGACACAGACACAGACACAGACACAGACACAGACACAGACACAGACACAGACACAGACACAGACACAGACACAGACACAGACACAGACACAGACACAGACACAGACACAGACACAGACACAGACACAGACACAGACACAGACACAGACACAGACACAGACACAGACACAGACACAGACACAGACACAGACACAGACACAGACACAGACACAGACACAGACACAGACACAGACACAGACACAGACACAGACACAGACACAGACACAGACACAGACACAGACACAGACACAGACACAGACACAGACACAGACACAGAACACAGACACAGACACAGACACAGACACAGACACAGACACAGACACAGACACAGACACAGACACAGACACAGACACAGAACACAGACACAGACACAGAACACAGACACAGACACAGACACAGACACAGACACAGACACAGACACAGACACAGACACAGACACAGACACAGACACAGACACAGACACAGACACAGACACAGACACAGACACAGACACAGACACAGACACCGACACAGACACAGACACAGACACAGACACAGACACAGACACAGACACAGACACAGACACAGACACACACACACACACAAACACACACACACACACACATGAAGATCGGCAAGAGACATCACCAACCAGAAATTGAAGTGCTCGCCCTTGAAATTCTGGCAACGGTCTTATCAGTTTTACTGCAAGGGGTGACATAGGACAGCAGCCAAGTTGCTCTATTGAACACGGTAAGACAAATTTTGCTTGCGGACATCCAATGTCAACAAGACAAACATATTGATGGTGCTTCATTTCTTTCCTGCCAGAACTCGGGTGCTGTTGCAGATGCTGGTGGTGGAGGGTGAGTTCTGATTCCTTTCGGGGTATGTGTTCCTGTGCATCAGCCCCGGATCCGCTACCTGCTTCTCCAGATGGGCAACTGACAAAATTACAGGTGATTAGTCTATTGTCAGTTTGGGGAGGCCCCTTAAAGAAACAAGAACGCCAGGGCGCAGATTCGCAGATGTGTTGGAATACTAGCCCCGGGCTCCGGATTGCGACAGATGTTTGGGATGCGAGAGACCAGTTTGCCCTTTGCAGCTTTGGTCCTTTCGGTTTCATGTCATTTCTGAGTATAGCTGTTTTTCTCCAAGACACCTGTTGGAGGCGAGTGCCTCACAAGCCCTAGCCGTCAGACGCCATGCCGCAGTCCTTGCGCGTGCTGCCAGCCGCCCTGTTGGGCGTGGGCACGTACCTCCTGGTGTCCCGGTCGTCCTCGCAGTCCTTCGTGACAACGGGCACATCCGCGAGGCCAAGCCGCACAGCCATGCGGGGATTCAAGGACGACTTCTACGCCTGGAAGGACACCCTGAGCAAGGACGATCAGGCTCTGCTGCTGAAGCAGGCCCAGAACGAGTTCAATAAGAAGTTCAGGTCCGGCGATGACTTCAAGAAGACAGTGGATCAGGAGAAGATTGCGGCCTTCGGCAAGGTCCTCCAGAAGTTCTTCGACAACGAGAGGGAGGACTACAAGAAGGAGGAGGCGATGAGGGCCCCCGACTACCAGGCTTTGCAGAAAAGGGCCGGCCAGGTGGGCTACGACTTCGGCTTGAAATCGGAGACCGTGGAAATCGACCGTGATGCTGACCGTCGCTGGGCTACTGCCAGCCGGAAGATGGCCATGGCGGAGAAAGAGGGCAAGGAGTATCCCGACAGTTCTCCTTTGAGGACTGTATTGCGATTCCAACGACGCGGAGCACCACGACAACAACCGTGAAGACCTTGAGAAGCTGAAGAAGACTCCAAGGGCGTTCAAAGACCTGGACGCAATGTTCATGACTTATGTCGATCCCAGCTGCTGGCGAGGATTCAAGGTGATGATGCCCCCGGGCCGGTTTGAGAAGCTGGGTGACTAGCCCAACCAGTATAGAGGAGAAGCGCGAGGCCTTACTAGCAACCCACAGCGAGGCCGAGGCGGAACTTTACCCAAGCAAAGCAGCAAGAGATGGGTGAATCTTTGATGCCATGCACAGGTGAGTACTACGAGGCACGTCAGGAGGTGGAGAAGGAGGTGACGCAGCTGAAGAAGTTCTTCCGCTCCCAGAAGGAGATGCCAGGCAAGACCAAGGCTGACATTGTGAAGCAGATCTGGAAGGAGTTGCCAAAGTGGTCCGACAGCCCCGTGCCTCCTCTGGATGAGGAGATGTTGGCGGACCTGGCCAAGGAGCCTGCTTCGGTTGAGGGCGAGTTCAAGCACAACTGGGGTACTGCTGAGAAGCTGTACAAGTCGGAGGCGATCGATTCTTTTGGCAACAGGTATCTGCTGGGTGTCTTTGAGGACACGAAGGACGCAGAGAAGGCCTTCGATGCTTGGAACAAGGAGTACGAGAAGGCTGGGCAGGATGTGAAGGAGAGCATGAAGAATTGGGCCAAGCAGCAGGAGGCTGAGCTGGCCGAGGAGCAAGACTCCGTCGACCGCATCCGCAAGGCTCTTGAGGAAGCCAGGCGATAAGTTTTTCCCCCTTGTTCAGTGTATAGCTAATTTCTTCGCATCAGCCTCATGCATGTTGAAATTGGCTTCTTCGCCGCTTGAAGCGCACACTAAGCTCCAAGGTATCTTCAGTGCCAAGTCAGTGTGCAGTTTGGACTATTTACAATTTTCTCTCTGTAGCTGTCTTTATCAGAGACACCTGGGGGAGGCGCGTGCCTCATAAGTCCTAGCCGTCAGCCATGCCGCAGTCTTTGCCTCTGCTGCCAGCCGCCCTGTTGGGCGTGGGCACGTACCTCCTGGTGTCCCGGTCGTCCTCGCAGTCCTTCGTGACAACGGGCACATCCGCGAGGCAAAGCCGTACAGCCATGCGGGGATTCAAGGACGACTTCTACGCCTGGAAGGACACCCTGAGCAAGGACGATCAGGCTCTGCTGCTGAAGCAGGCCCAGAACGAGTTCAACAAGAAGTTCAGGTCAGGCGATGACTTCAAGAAGACAGTGGATCAGGAGAAGATTGCGGCCTTCGGCAAGGTCCTCCAGAAGTTCTTCGACAACGAGAGGGAGGACTACAAGAAGGAGGAGGCGATGAGGGCCCCCGACTACCAGGCTTTGCAGAAAAGGGCCGGCCAGGTGGGCTACGACTTCGGCTTGAAATCGGAGACCGTGGAAATCGACCGTGATGCTGACCGTCGCTGGGCTACTGCCAGCCGGAAGATGGCCATGGCGGAGAAAGAGGGCAAGGAGTATCCCGACAGTTCTCCTTTGGAGGAGCTGTTTGCGATTGCCAACGACGCGGAGCACCACGACAACAACGTGAAGACTCTTGAGAAGCTGAAGGAAGACTCCAAGGGCTTCAAAGACCTTGACGCAATGTTCAAGGACTTTTCGATCCCAGCTGCTGGCGAGGACTTCAA